AAAATCGAGAGTCCTAGTTCCGGTTTCGAGATGGAGGACCATGGATCCGCACCACTGAGGAGTTCCATACTAGGGCAAATAGGCCTACCAGTGCCGATAGGTTTTCAGTGGCTGTCTAACCTAAATCGGTTGAGAATTTCGAGGAAAATCTTCATAAATTACTTATTAAAATCCCTTTCAACTTTATCGCATATTAAAGCATAATTAGAAATAATATAAAGTCATTTTAAAAGACAACAAATGATTTAAAATGTGTTTTTTTATTCACCATATAAACATTACCTGTTTGTTTAAGTGGAGTACAAACAACTACACCAACTGTTATCAGTTCACTTATTTTATGTGTTCTCTTCAGCTGCTTATAACTTGTAAAATCTAGTAATACCTATTTAGAAGAAATAAATAGTACAGTGGACCCAATATTAGAAAGTCACAATAATTGGTTATAACATTAAACAGTTGAACTCATGAGTCGATTGAAGCTAGATCGTCATGGAAAACCTTGACGGTCTCCGCGAATTCACCGAATAAAATAAATGGGCTGTGTGAACTCAGTAATGATAATAATGCTCATCTGGTAGGAATATCTAAAACGTACTAGAAGCTAGTAATGCTCGGAATGTCTTTGTTTCACAGTGACAGAAAAAAAGGAATTGGATGAAGAGGTGCACCTAATGCACAACCAAGAGTTTATCAACCTCGGTGGATCCAATTGGCACTCAGTAAGATTGACTACCACTTCGAGGTGTCTATTCGGTTTCATCTACAAGAAACACACTGTTAACATCGAGTACAATAATTGTATGCCGGAAGGATTATTCCGCTCTACTCGTCTCGAATTCACTCACATCCTGATTCTAGGGAACTTTGATCCTCCGAAAGTCAATCTGCAATTCCACAAGGATTTCTGAAGTGAATCTTAGTGCCGACTAAGTATGCCTGAAACTGCACACTTAAGAGAAGATACTTCCCTTGGCACGGATATGGTTCATTCTTGTGTGGTGAGGGAAGCAGCTTCAGTGATGGCAACACCGCTCACAGTGATTTCCTCACATTCACTAAGCCGAGGCAAAGTACCGGAAATTTGAAATCTGGCCCACATCACACCAATTTTCAAAGGAGATCGACGCAGCAATCCTTCAAGCTACCAACCGGTAGCACTTCTCTCCATACCTTCAAAAACTGTGGAGTCACTGATATTTGACGGTAACATTTAAATACAATTTTAGCCAGTTCAATGGAAGAACTTTCCACATAATCTTCAACGGTTTCATTCATCCCTTTCAGAGTATGGAAACATAGTATTTCCTCCCTCACTCCAAAAGGATAAGGACATTCCGGGGCGTATTCAACGGCCACCCACCAAATCAGTTCGGGCACTCAAATTCAAGCCTTATGAAGAGTGTCTCCAATCACCGAATTTTCACTCATCGGAGTATAGGCATCTTATAGGTGACCTTCTGATGGCTCACAGTATCCTTAACACTTCTGGACATCGCATGAACACCTACATAAGTTTATCTCCAAAACAAACCTAAGGGGTAACACCCAGAAAGTGGAGACGCAACGTATATTGAATTAATCATTACATTGAGACAGTTTATTATCGACCTTTCTCTTGAAATGCTGTTATTTTCTTATCTTTTTAGGAATCATCCAATTATCATAGATGCTCAACAATGTCCATAAACCTAGAAGGCGCTCGTTTCAAAAAGGGCAGTGATTTTTGCACTTGTTGTGATTATCCTTGCTTTGTGTACTTGTTGCATCAGAAAGCATTCTTGGTCTACTTTAACTAAGAGTGCTTTAGTTAAGGTTTGAAATTTTTGCTAAACTTTGTACTGTGGCACATTTTTTCACTCACTGACTGACACTCGTGTTCACATTGTCGTCATATTGTTTTTTAAATCTTTTTTAATAAAATAACAGTGTTTAGTAAGACTTAATAATGTGGAAAACCAAACTGTTTGTTCCCCGTTGAGGGAGGAATGCAGTGCGACGACTGTAAAAAGTGGTACCATAAGATGTCTACACGTCTAAGTTCCACCGCATACAAAAGATGCTCGGAGCCTAACTCGCGATAACTTTGTATTTTTTGCTGTACAAATGAGACGTTACTAATACAGGAGGCTATGAGCCTATTGGCTTTTGCCTGCAAGTAAAACGACGTTGGTTGCGCTGATAACATGAGCACGGACAGTGACGAATGTGTCAATGTAGTACGCCCTTCTACCGGACCCGTTAAACACCCGACTGTTATTGACAGAAAAGTGAAATCTCGGTTAACATTAACGAGAAGTGAAGTGCCGCTTGATATTGACAAAGGTAATCATACACCTCTAGTGGAAATTGAAGACCCGGATAAAAGTGTCACCGTTCCAAATAGTCCTGGTGCGGCTGTCCTGAGTGATGATAAATGAACTTCAGTACGGAGAAAAAGAAGTGAGGAGAAAAAAGCTGTGGGCAAAATGCAGCTGGTTAGCAATTCATTGGAAGAGACGGTATCAGAAAGAAAAACTCCACTGCGTGTCAAGACAGACCTCTCTGAGAGGTCAGTCATTTTTCATAAGTTAAAGGAACCTTTAGATAAGGAACCAAAGGCTAGATTTTAATACGACCTCGGTCATCTTAAGTTCTTAGTAAACAAACTAACCCCAGATACAGTTTCAGGGGTTAGTATTTGTAAGCTTTACAGAATAGGACAAAAGGTGGATTCTGAAAGTCCTCAGGAAAACCGCCTTTTGAAGGTTACATATGCCACGGTTGAAGAACGGAATCTGATTCTAGGTAACTCACATAAACTGATTGGATCCGGAATATGCATCCGTGAGGATCTCAGCCCAGCTGAAGTGGAAATAAATGAGCATCGCCGAAACGGTAAAAGAAACTTCGTTCTTAAGGGTTTTCAAATTGTGAAAACTCGGAGCAAAACGACCACCAAACCACTCTGGGTGGTAAAAGTTTTCCACAGACTTAAAGGTATGCTACACAAATGCTCGCAGCCTACTAAATAAAATGGCGGAGCTCGAGTCAATGGTGGATGAAGAAACTCGGTTAACGTCAGAAGTATTAGATAATAAAATTCAGTCGACTGTGTTTCTAACCAGTAGGGCTGATAGATTAAACCGTAGGGGAGGTGGAGTTATCGTGTACACGAAAATTACTTTTACCATAAAAATAGCTGAGACAGTAGCACATGTTTCAGAGACATGTAACCTGGTGCTATGTAAGCTGAAATGTAGACGGCAAGCTGTGGCATATCGCAGTCCAGAATGTGCAGCAGATGATTTTCTCCTAAGTAAACTTAAGTCCTTGTGTAACAAGAATAAAAGCCTTGTAGTAGGTGACTTTAATGCACCGTATATAAACTGGGTTAACTTGGAAGTATGGTCATCGACAACGTCAGTCGATTGCAAACTGTTAGAAACCTCAATTGGACCAGCTTTATCCAACACATTAGAAACCCCACAAGATTGCCTGTCAAACAGTTGCGCCGGCCCGTCCTAATATATGGAAGCACATATGGAGGCAATCAACTCAGCAGCACGGGCTAAAAACTGGGAAATTAACACAAGGGCATCAGTACAAGAGGCATGAACTCATTTCAGGCAGTTATGCAATCGGGTAACACAACCACACACACCTTGAACAGTCCCAAAGAAGAAGAAGCAAGGCCATCCCCAGATGGGCCGGGATATTCGACGTTTACCAAGACAAAAGAAGAAATGTTGGGATGTTGCAATCCACCTTGGCACAGCAGGTACGATGGAACGCTACAGATCGGTAAGAAACAAGTGCATAACAAAAATTCGGGAAGCTCAAAGAAAATATGAAGTGAAATTGGCACAATATACACTCAAGCAGCCCAAGAGAATATTCTCGTACATAAACTACAGAACAAGGATGCATCATTGGATTCCCAAACTAATTAAAGTAGGAAGTGAATCTAAAATGATGGAGGAAGATCATGAAAAAGAAGAGGCTATGGCTGACTATTTTGGGGCAGGCAGAATTAAATAATATGATTAACTGGTCTAAGGAGTGGCTGGTGCCTATCAACGCGGCATAGTGTGTCTACAAGCACTTTGGGGATTCAAAGGTTAATAGGTACAATATAGGGGAAGTGCCATTACCCATGGTCCGGTCTCGTAAAGATCTAAGGGTGACAGTGGGTCATGATCTTAAGACGACGGCTCCTTGCCGAAAGGTCGCAGCTAAAGAGTTTCGAACCCACTGGGCTTTAAAATGGACATTCGCTAAATTAGATACTACCATGTTCACCACAGTATTCACATCCTTGGTGAGAACTAAGCTTGAAAACCCCGTTCAGGCCGCAAGCGCCTGTTTAAAAGATGACTCGGGTGTCGTAGAAAAAATGAAGAGGTCAGCTACCCGTGCAAGTCAAGAACTCCGGGGTTTACCATACATCTGGACCTCTTTACTCTGTCCTATCGCAGATTAAGGCGAGATCAAGTTCTGATGTACAGAATACTGAGAAGTGATTTTGGGCCTAGCTTATTCCCTTTTTTTCATCCCACTAGATTAGGACATCTCAGGGGACATAACAGGCGAGTAGAAATGTCAAAGACGAACAAAATATCCGTGGCATACAGGTTTCTACACCGATTCATCAATACTTGGAACCTGCCGCCCGAAGCAATGGTGTCCGCACCTTCACTTGACTCTTTCAAGAGAAAGTTGGATACTCATAGAAGCACACTAGAATGTGAATAGCATAGGTCATAGGCTTTCTGTTCTTACTACACAAATCTGAATGTAACTATTTATCAATTGTTCACCGACTTCTATATTGATCCACCAACGTATAAAACTCTTTTCCTCATCAAACAGTAACAGCTCATACTTTTTAAAATTGAGCATTGGATAATGTAAGCTGTTAAACCCTCATAACTAAAAACAACAGACACTTTCAAGCCTTCCATTGTACTAAAACCGGCGATATTGAATGCCAAATTTATAATTGCGGGTATTACAATTTCAAGGTAAGTTGTTAAATTGTGACTGTAGGTTGTTATGAGAGCATGGTATAAAAGATAGTTAATACTGGAAAGTCAAAACACTTTACGTTTTATAATCACTTTGAAACGGTACATCCTATATCTTGACTAGTTCAGAATAGACAGTGACATCTTTTCTTGTTGAGACATTTTGCAAAATATTAATTTTGAAAATCAGCGACAAAGTCTCTGAAACGTTTGCGCGAAAACAAGTGTATAAATGTAATGATCTCAAAGACCGGTATTTAACCATTGAACAAGATTTATTCTGCCATTGTCGCCTAGATTTAACTGAAATAGCCCATCTGTATTCTAGAACTATACTTCTTCGCTATTGTATAGATGATATTTCAACCTCTAAAACCTGTATTTTAGTTGGTAGGTGGAGGTTTATGATGGTCATTGTGCGTATTATCTTCCTGCCAACACCAACATATTAAATGGCGTTTACAAAAAAATGAAGCGTCTTTACTGCACATAAGTATTTCTTTGAATTAGTATTTTCCCACAACGTGAATACCGAGTTGTTCCCAAATCATTTGTTTACTTTCCGTTTTCCGCGCAGTTATTTTTTGACTGAAATCGGTTGTGCTTTCAGAGGGCTTTCTGTAGGAGTATAAGAACATAGTAAAATCCCGATTTGTTAATAAAATGAAAAACTTTTTGTAGGAGCTAAAATTACATGTTAAACATAATATTCAGTAACAACATTGGTAACCTGTTACGCTGGCCGCAAAACCAGATGTTTGCCTCACGCGTATTTCATGTAGTGGGCTTTTTACATTATGGAATAGATGAAAATCTCACACGAAGTGGGCTCAGATAATGTTCACAAGAGCAATGGAGTCCTTGCAATTTAAATGTCTAGCTCAGAAAATACTCACTGAAAACTAGTTTCGACAGTTCTGTAATCTTTTTGCTCTGAATACCAGTAATCACAAAATGTAGTTATTAACTCAATATCCTCTATATCTTATTATTTTTGTAACGTCTTTCATATTATACCGACCTCTTCATGCATTTTTCATCTTTATAAGTAGGCCTTTCATTGTCCTACACATGAGTATCAAACAAGGATTCTTTTAATTATATCAAAATTTTAATTCTTTTAGATTATGTCATAAAAGATGTCCCTAATACATCAAAAGTTAGCTGAGCGTTTGTTTATCTTGAATGATCGTCAGCTTGGTGTGCTGACTCGTATCCACTATATGAAACAAATGCTTAGTACACCTGAATACCGCCCAGCTGTACTCCCTGGTGGTGACAAAGCATTCGATGGGGCTTGGAAAGTTTTGTTAAAGAAGTTCCCTTCAGTTGATGTCAGATCAAATCCATCCAGTATGCAGCCATTTTTTAATCATCAAAAGGAGTTGTTTGCAATGTTATCAACTTACTATTTTAACTTTGTTGACGTTCTTGATGTAAGAGATCATTTCATTGATCTCATAGGATGTTTGGCATCTTCAAAAATAACCCCTGACATCACTGTTAACTTTGACGTTACGCGGATTTATTTGGAACTCGTTAGTAATTATTTCGCAATGATGTTTCTCATAACACGTATCTCAGACACTAAAGCTATTTTGATTCTTTTCAATTTTCTGTACGATCAACTACATGGAAAACAAGAACCTAATTATCCACGTATGGCAGAAATATTTACCGAGACCTCTGAAGGTATGCTTAATCGTTTACACAAGGAGATAAATCCTTATTCTCGTACATTATCAAGGGCTCTTCGTTCTTTAAATGATTTTTACAATCGACGAACTGTAAGAGCTCAAAATTGGAGTGATGGACATTTTTTAGATATTTTACATGAGCCAAGCAAAGTAACACACACTGTCCTAGGAGAACAATTAGGTTGTGAATTAATACCTTATGAGGTGATGGAAAGATGGGTAGTTTTTGGTTATTTATTGATATACCCTGAATTGACTGATGAAGACTCGTTCAATCGACTGAAAGTAGCCCTACGTCATTCATATGTTGTTGTGCTCTTCAGAGAAGAAGTAATTTACATTCATTCTCTTCTACAATCATTTCTCGAGTCTTCGTGGGTTAATAAGGTAGGTGCTAAACGTATAAATGAAATTAAAGAGACATTTTCAATTGCATGCTCACAAACTCCCAAAATGCATGCTGACAGGCGAGCTTATTTACGCCTATCTTTGCGTCAACTTCATCTTATTTTGTCTGATGAACCTGGATTATTGGGTCCCAAGGCATTTTTGGTATTCTGGGGCCTATCATATGCCTCAGATGAAGTTCACTGGCTTTTAAGACATTCTGCCAACCCTATAGTAAAGAAAAGTTCTACTGTGGCTTCACGTACAGGTCCATCTTCAAGTGACGAACTTAGTGATCCATTCTTACCGGAATTGCTTTTTAGAATGGATGAGCTTCGTTCCTTAGTTTTGCGTTACAGTCCTGTTATACAACGTTTCTATCTCCAGTTATTGGGTTGTTATGATGGACCTGGTTTAAGTGAATATGTGCAAGATATTTTGCCACATGTGAATAATGAAGAATCTGTTATCTTCAATTCTATCGCAAAACAATTATGTGAGCTTGCTGATAATCCTGTTGTACGTGAAACAAATTTAAGTCCTATGCAATCAACATTGTTTGACTTTTCTGGGATTCGACTCGATTGGTTGCGTTTACAAGCCTGTTTGTCATGTGAAGCTTCTGCTGCTAGTTTGAGTGATTACCGGCGACTTGTTGAGCATATAAATTCTACAATACTACATACTAAGTTGGTTGATTATTTGGATGAACTGCTTCGATTAGTTTCGGACATGTCCATTTTTATATTTTATCCTTCTAAATTCACTGAACTATTTTCCAACTGCCGTATATGCCCTGCACAGTTAAGATTTACGATTGTGTTCCCAAGCATTTGTTCTCAGGCTATACAAGCATGTCATGATCTGTGCCCAGAAGAACGTTCACATATTGGTCGTAACGCAGCTAATTTATGTCGTCACTTTTGTCAAGAAATCGCGGATAATATATGTCTTTATTTATTCAATCGTATTGATGAATTTGGAAATATGGCTGATCAGTTAGCACCACAAAATTCTGTACCATGGCTTACGGATGAGAAACCAGCAAAAAAAGGCAAGAAACCAATCATTAATACTCGACAGAATGTAAATGGAATTATGAACACAGGAGGAATAGATTCAAGAAAAGGTAAACGGCTAAATGGACCTATCAACATCTCTACTAATAACAAATTTACTCTATCAAACAATATGTCTTTTGATTCACGTTTCATTCCGGGTGTGGAAAGCTTTAGAACTAATCGAGAAGAACAAACTATAAATGATAAAACGTTATTTGGATTAAGTCAATTATGTTATTCTGTTAACCATCATCGGGAATTATTGGTTTTTGATCAAGTTATCAATCCACGTGAAATACTTCAGAATGAAATACAATTCAGAATTATTGATTTACTTGCTAGTTATTCGAGTTTTGCGTAAGTTTTCTTTGTTACATTGGTTCTTGCAATACATATATATTTATGTATGAGCTTGTAGGTACTTGTAGTGTTTTTTCTCATATTTAAATTTCAAGCCTTTATCATGCTCAGTCGCATTCAGCAAGCTAACATTGTTGACCATCCACCATATTTTTCTCGTATATGTCACAGACATGAAAAGTCTAAGTTTTATCAACTTCTGTTCATCAGAATGAGTTGATTTAAATATACCAAGACACCAATTATAAGTCACATTGTGACTTTAGATCAGACAATCAACTTAAAAACCATTTTATTTTGAGCCATCATGGTATTTTATTTATTTAGTTATCTATACTGCTAAAATTTTACTATCCAATTATTTAATTTTCAAGGACAAGGTTAATCAACATACTTAGGCGATAAAAATCACCGAACCAGCCAAAGGGCATGTGTGCTGCTAAAGAGACCTCTCTTTATTATTTAATAAAAATAAAGAAAATTCACGACACGCCATGGGTTATTTTAACTCACTATATTACTTTATGACTAAAACATGATCTCTTAAAGTAGATGACACACAAAAACTATAGGTCCTTTATCGTAGATGTTTTCAAAGCATTGCTCGCGGAACGATCGAGTGAGTAATGTTGAGATTAAACGCAGTGTACTAGGTAATGGTAGCAGATAGGTCGATAGAGTAGTGAATTTTTGAGGTGGTCGTGATTTGTTACGTATACCTAACCACCGCATACCTCAGCCAGCTATTTTTTACTGGAGCAGACGTAAGTTGGAAGAAAGCTAGAAGTGACCGAACTATAGCATAGCATCAATCCATGAAGCCACAGGCTGATGGTCTGAGCCATGTAGATAGTTGCAGACTATTTGATTGCAGTCCTTGTAATTATCGCAACTAGAGACTATGAGTAACATGGCGTGTAATCGTTCGCAATAACACAGGTGCATTCACTTTTTTTCTTCTTTTAAATTCTGATTCTATAAATTTCTTATAAATCTTTGTTTACTTCACCAATCTATATTTTCTTCCCGAAATGTACCCTCGAGACTCAATATTTTCTATTACTGTTAATACTGTTACTCCCACTACTACTTAGGGATTTCCCTTCACAATTTTGTCTCGCTGTGCTGATGGACATGGCGAATTGAAAACATATACACATCTACCAGGCTCTACGTTGCGTTTGACTGACTAATTGAGCAGTGGGGTCTTGTAGCGTTGGACAATCTCACTATTGCTTTTCAACTTTGCCTTCACTGACATTTTGAGAACATCTCTGATGGAAGAAGGTAGTTACTGTATAGACTCGTCATCCGGAAAGATTTTCTGATCCTGGGTAAGCAAATATTGTCTTACTGTACGATGACACTCAAGTTATGCAAATTGCATTTAATGAGTTGGCAATCAATATCTGAAGACATTGTATATACTTCGCATATTCCAAATGCAAAGTGCTTCGATGAGACTAACAATGGCGTATGTTTACACCCACTGTTCACGGTAAGCCGTCAGAAATAGTCGAAAAGTTTGTGTTTTAGTGGCTGTATGAGTGGTGGTCGTAGCGTAAAAGACGAGGTCAGTCTATATACAGTGAAAACCAGAGCGGTTCATGTCAATCTGAGTCATTTTTGGCACCATTGTGACATTATGCCAGTCTGGGTGTAAAAGGTCGAGTTTACAACGCGTTGGTGAGAGTAGTTTTGTTTTGCGCCTATGAAACCTGGTTTCTCCATGCTGAAGATTTTCGGTGACTTTCTGTGTTCGGTCATCGTTGTCTCCGAAGGATTGTTGACATTCAGTGGCAACACTATGTTAGTGATGTTGAGGTCTGACTGTGTATGCCTAGGCACGTAACGATAACTGAATTTTTATGACCATCTTGAAGTATAGTGTTCAGTGGCTTGAACATATGTTACGTATACTGTCCTAGAGGCGTTCACACCAACCATTGTTTGCCAACGCTCGGATAGAGTAGAATAAGCTGATAGGTAGTCAGTTGGGGATGGCAGCGGGGTATGAAAACTTTATAGGACTGGCACTTGGCATTCCATCACAATTCCCTGGTCGGTGTCCGATATGGTGCAACTTAATAACTTGGGAAGTTGTCAGATATGGCTCACAATAGAAACTAGTGGTGTGATTTTCTTCACATTCTTCACAAAAGTGGTAGGAATTCCTTGGATCGAAAGAATCCCTTATTTGTATTTTTTTTCAAAATTGAACTGTCTCTACCACTGCATACTATTGTCATTCACTAGTTTTATTCATTTATTTGTTTTCCTGATACCCTCTCTGTCTCTCTATTTCCCCATATTTTCATTTTATCTGTATTGACCTTATTTATTTTGGTCCCTAGATGTACTAATCTTGATAAGTTCTAAGTAAACTAATATCATTTGTTACATAAAGAATTTGAATCTCATGTACACTTGCGACATGAGAATAAGGTGTAGGATTTCCATGGTAGAGGTTTTAAACACATATCTCTATAAAGTCATTTGGAGAGAGAAAGTGGACTGATTTTACCTCCAGCTTTATCACGGTTTTTTCGGAGTTCAGACTATTGTTCAATACACTTCTGTTTTAATAATTAGACAAATCTTTCCCATGCATTATAAATATAACAAGTTAACAAACATATATTTCAAACCATTAAGAGAGCAAGACAATCCTTGAAAAGTTAAACCATCATAGAGTTATCCTTAAAAGCATATATTTATTATATACATTTCTTCCGTTGAATGAATACGTGCTCTCAGTTTTTCATATACATCAATACAATTAGAAATACGCTATAATAATTCATCACTAATCAATGTTTATAAATACAAGTCACATAACAACTACGAGTTATAAATTTAATCAGCAACAACAACAACAAAAAAATAATCACTAACTATGTTTAGGTGATAAATATTGATTATGAGAATGTAGATAGAATTTTGACGTCAATCATAAACTTAATAAATCACTTCACTTCCTAATTGATCCGTTATGCAATGTCATTTCAATTAAGAAACAGATTGAAAGTTTAATTATTTTTTTTTTGAATTTTCATCATAGCTCTCATGACAATACATCGGAATCACTTGCTTCTAAACCATCGGAATTACTTCGACGTGTACGAGCTTTAATGAATGCTCTTATAGATTTGGAAAATCATGTTTGTATTGATGTGATTGGATTGTTTTCTACTGTATTCACTCAACATACTCAACCAGTGGATGCATTTCGTGTAAGTATTCATTTAGCATTCTTCAAATCTATTAATGACATGTTTACAATATTCATAAAGGATATTATTTGTTCTGTTCATTGTTATTATTCTCATTCATTTTCTTTAAATGCGAATGTCCGGCGCTTTAACCGGATTCCAAATCTATGGTGCACATGGGCACCAGTATCCTGCGGGAACAAATGGCGTATGAACCAATTTTCGGTCACCGGCTACCATGGGACTGCATCTCCTTACGATGCCTCACTGCCTTGTGGGTTAGACCTTTAGGTCAAAGGCTCGGGGTGTGGCCCCCAAAGATAACCACCTGCTTCGGTCTGGGCACCCGGGCAGTATCGCAGCCCACACGCAATTAATGAACTGAAATTGTGTGGCGCATATATATTTGGCGCACTCCTGTACCAATATATATGTGTTCAAATAAAATAAAATAAATGGATAATTGTTAAATTTCATTTTAATATTTTATCTGTTACACAATAAGTGAATAGTATTGTAGGATATTCGATGAAATATTGTACACAAAACAACATGTCGCATGATATCATACATAAATTAAGGATCATACAAATAGGTTAATATTAGTAGTGGTAAGGGTCTATGTTTTCCCGTTGTTACTATACTGGATTATTGGTATATTTTCACCTTAACTAGATGTTTCGGTTTCTTCACAAGTTACAAAGTTCACTGGTCGTAACAATTCGGATATACTGAAAAGCTTTTCCCTCTTGTTGTGGGACTCCTCAGCAGTGAGTATCCACGTCTTTACTATCAGTGACCGAACCCAGGAACTTCGGTTTTGGATTCTAACGCTTAACCTCTAGACCACGCAGTCGCCATTCAAAGTTCGGCGCTCACGCATGAGGCCGAAGGTCCTGGGGTCAATCCCGAGCGGGTCTGTGGGCCCCCATACCAGGACAGAACAGCTCTCCAACGATTCCTGGTTTTTAATAGTCCCTTACCTAATATCAGTTCGTGACTTAAGCTGAAAATTCCACTACATTCATAAACCCCCAATATATTAATCCAAAAACATATTAAGTAAGAATTCTTAAAGTATACAATTTAAATAACGACAAAATCAAAACCCACTTGTGCAGCTTGCTGTTTACGAAGAATGCAATATGAAACTACAACAGGACTGTTATGAGTTTTTTTGAAAACATATCTAGCTACTTGTTTGCATGATGTCTAAGACTTAGTCCAATATGTCATGATGAACTACTTTTTGTAAAATAACCAGTCTGTCTTTTTTTCCAGTAACTCCTATTCTCCACAAATTTTCCTTAGTATAAAACAAAATGTTTAGAACGTTTCCGCGCTCAAAGCGTGACGTTTGAAGGTAATGTCTCAAAGTTATCAGTGATCCCTATACTTTGCCGAACTTCAGCATTACAATGTGATCACTGAATACACATTTTCGAGAGTATGTACAGAAACTTATTTTCACTAGTCTCGCATAAATACTTTAAAATTCGATAATTCAAGGTACATACTATGCTTGTAGATATTGATTTAAATGCCTATGTCAGCACTTATTAAGACAGTATCGTTCTCATGCTTAAGATTATGAAGTATTTCTTCAGAGTTACTTCCATAATATCGTTGATGATGAGTTTGAAATGGGAGTGCAACTATAAGGTGATGGTTGGAGGTGGTCTACGGGAATCCCTGCACCGCCATACTTATCAAAGGCCAACAATCGTAGTGTTTCTTGACATCAGGGCTGCCTTCGATTCGTTGGACAGGACTGTTCTCTGGGATTGTCTATTGAAGAAGGGTGTGCCTGAGAAGTTTATTAACATCCTAAAAGCCCTATATAAAAACACCTCAGGCAGAGTGAGGGCATACAACCACCTCTCTCCATTGTTCCATTCGAGCAGTGGGGTTAGGCAGTGTTGCCCAATCTCACCATTCCTCTTCAACTTTGCCATCGATGACATTCTGGAAACAGGTCTGATGAATGTAAGTAATGGTGGTGTGGATCTGTTGCCTGGAGAAAGACTTCTCGACCTTGAGTATGCGGACGATATTGTCTTACTGTGCGATAATGCCCAAGGCATGCAATCCGCACTTAATCAGTTGACAATCAGTGTCCGTAGGTATGGTATGTGCTTTGCACCTTCGAAGTGCAAAGTACTTCTACAAGACTGGCAGGATTCCAATCCTGTACTCACCCTGGACGGTGAACAGATAGAAGTAGTCGAGAAGTTCGTGTATCTGGGTAGCTGCATAAGTGCTGGTGGGAGTGGGAGTGATGAGATCAATGCACGTATAGTGAAAGCCAGAGCGGCTTATGCCAATCTGGACCATCTTTGGCGCCTTCGTGATGTTAGTCTGGCTGTAAAAGGTCGGATCTACAACGCGTCGGTGAGAGCAGTTTTCCTCTATGCTTGTGAAACCTGGTCTCTCCGAGTTGAGGATGTTAGACGACTCTGTGTTCGATCATCGTTGTCTCCGAAGGATTGCTGACATTCAGTGGCAACACCATGTCAGTAATGCAGAGGTTCGGCATCGTGTGTTCGGGCACAGAGATGATAATTCAATGGATGTCACCATCTTGAAACACCGACTTCGGTGGCTTGGACATGTTCTACGAATGTCGTCCCAGAGAATTCCACGTCGTGCATTATTTGCCGACTCTGGGACTGGTTGGAAGAAGCGGAGAGGTGGTCAGTGTATGACATGGTGTCGTGGTATGAAAGAAAGCTGCAAAGGACTGGCTTCTGTCAGTCCTTCACGACTCCCTGGTTGGGGTCTGAGAGATGGTGCTACACAGTGGCTAGAGACGTTATGAGATATGGCTCAGAATAGAAGCCAGTGGCGATCCTGCTGTAACCTCCTTTTACTTTCTTCATAAAAAGTGGCTGTGTCTCCCTTACCTGAAAGATTTCTTCTGATTGTACCTTTTCGTTCCCTCGTTACTACCACACTACCTTACACCAATCTCTTCGTTATTGTTCTCTTTTTCTTTTGCGCTCCTTAGTTTTTTTTTCTACTTCTCTTCGAATTTTCATTGTTTTGTGTGGCGCATATATATTGGCGCTCTCTTGTACCAATATTCATGTGTTCAAATAAATAAATAAATAAATAACGGGAATCCCTGGACCTAGTTTTTGTGCTCTTTGGCACTCGTTAACAAGGTATACCTGTAATCTTAATGGACGATTCAATCCCATGTCACCCAGTTTCACAGTTAGAAACGTTACCACTGATGATTTCCTGCCAACTACCTCCAACCATCACCTTACATCTCAACCTAGTATGCGCGATGTTGAGTTATACTCAAACAATGTTCATGGTTATGTATCCCGGCATGCACTAAGGTAAGAATGTTAACAGTTATGTTAGGAATTTTGGAAAATAACTCTAACCGTTTGTTTCTAGTGATTATTTTAATAAGAACGGGATTCGTCAATAAATATGTGTATAATATATATACTTCTCTCTCTTTTTTTTACTTTAGGGACAATTAACAATGACAGCTCATTATGCTGAATGGTATTTAGAAAATGTTATTAAACATGCTTATCTAGATCATTTTGTTTATTCACCTTTATTGAAGAGTTTTGTTACTTTAGTATCACCTGATGTTGTAAAATTTCGAGCAGAAGATTATGCTGATTTAAATGAACTACTAGCTTTGACAGAACTTATCGGTAAGTGAGTTAGGAAATTGTATGATTTCTTTTGCTTTATTGTTTTGTTTTTCAAAGAAATCATTGGGGAGAAGGAGGTTTTTTTCTTAATCTACATTGTTCTGCATACAAACAAACGTAAATTTAACCTATATTACTATTTTGGTGGGTAAGATGTCAGAATTTGCATATCGCATTGTGAGGTTTATGTATTTTAACTGATGTGAACACAAAATTGAGCGGAGCGTTCACTTTTCAACGAATTTATCATCAAACTGTACAATAGTAAATATATAAGAAATTTCAAAGACTAGTGCTACACTAGACAACATCGGCCATCGAGGTGGACGGTGTTTTTGCGTACGTAGTACATGTCCCAACCACCTCAATTGAAGATTTCCCGTCTTCATTTAGTACCCTATTCTTAACCCAGACATTGGTTACTTCATGGTCCCAAAATACACGTGCAATGCTTCGTAGACACCTATGATCGAATGTTAGTAATCTGAAAATATTCTCTATTCCTAATGACCGTGTTCCATACCCATAAAGTAGAATAAAGTGAATTAATGTGTAGCAAACTCGTCCTTTGATTGAAATATAATTATCTCGCCTATTCCACAAATGATGCATGTTGGCAAAAGCCTGTCGAGTCTTCTGAATCCATGTCGAGGTTTCATCAGACACCAGACCATCAGTACTAATGAGACTCTCAAGATAAGTGAAGCGATCGATACGTCCAACTACTTTACTCACTATCCTTATCTAAGTCGTTGACCTGGACTGGTCTTGAAGAAAATGTTTCGCATTTAGATGGAGAGGAATACATCCCAATTATGCCTGCAATGTTGCTTAAGGTGGTCAGAAGACTGCATTTTGTCGGCGTATTCACCAAACAGAACTATATCATCTGAGTCACCAAGTGAATCTTCTGATGGAAGGTCAACATTTGAAAAGTCAGACGATGAAAGTGTTATCTGCAAAAAATTGTTTATGGCAAAGTTAGGTAAAAAAAAGTGGGGGGAAGCAGACATTTCTGACTCACATCACTTGAAGTAACTAATTCCGATTACAGCTCATCATAAGCTCTGAATTGGTCATTAATGTTCGAGTAGATATACTGTACAATGCTGATGTGCTTCTTCGGTACCTCTTCCAACGACAGAAACTACCACAGAACCTCACAATTAACAGAGTTGGACACTGCCTTACGGTCAAGGAATACAATTATAGTAGTACGTCGAAAACTATGTCTCTGTTCCAGAATCTGCAGAACGGTGAGTATTTGGTTTTTACATCCAGGTCTGAGACCAGCCTGGTTTTCCCAGGTTTACCCTTTATGAGCTATAGTTAGATGTCGAAATATTATTGCGTCTAATATTGTAGACATCATATTAGTTAAACTGGTCTCTCCCGACCGTTGTTGCTACCTTGACGTGGTGGTCGGGCTTGCCTATCGTGATGAAGCAACCGAGCTATACTGGCTGGAACAACCGTTCCTCAAGGTTCTACCATATCAGACAGGTCGGTTGAAGAGCGGTAAGACTAAAAGCAACAAACCCAAGGTCCGAAGGCGAAGTCGTACTGCTGACTGTACAGAGGTGTGACAGCAGTAAGCTGTTTCCTTCAGACAACCAGCATGACAGCGATGCTGCCTTCCCACAAGGAGGGGTGGGGTTAGAAAAGGTCGACCCTAAAAATGCACACCTCCCTTATCGCACGGATATCCGTCTCCGGCGGTAAGGCCCTTTGAAGAACAGAGCTAACACGTCAAAAAGCTCCCACGAAAAGGCCGTGCGCGACCGGCCCCAAGCAGTTGTCTCTTGGGCACTGCGGTCACGCTCTCAGGTCACTGAGACCGCCTCTAATCCAATTTCCTTTTCAGGTACCTCCAGAAGAACCCTTCCACGGTGTGGGCAACCGGGAAGTGATAACCGCCCTCATACCTCTAACAGCATTCAAGACCACTGTATTCATAATCAACCTCCCTCTTCAATTCCTATGATTCCTCCTACATCGACTTCAAACTCTAAACTTCTTTTATCGGCTTCCCCCTCAAGTGTCACCATAGCCAACGATTCTAGTGCTCAAAACACTGTCCCAGGTCTACTGAAACCTCGCTCCAAACTACACATTGGAGCCTTCAACGTACGCACCCTATGTCAAATCGGTCAGCAGGCTTCCTTGGCTAAAACCCTAGAGTCTCTTTCCATTGATATATGCTGTGTCTCCGAAACACGCATACAGGATTCCAGTGTGGTCATTCACTTGACCTCACCTCGGCAAAACGGAGAGCCAACGAGATACACCCTCCGTGTATCTGGTGACCCTGTGGCCAGCTCTCGTGGACTGGCAGGAGTAGGGATAGCACTAAGCATGAGGGCGGAACAAGCACTGTTAGAGTGGATCCCCGTTAACAGTCGTCTATGTGCTGTTCGGCTAAACGGCTCCGTAAGAACTCGGAAGGATAAGGACACACGTCGTTGCCTTTTTGTCGTTGCTGCCTACGCTCCCACTGACTGCAGCTCAGATGAAGTGAAAGATGAATTTTACAGAAAGCTTTCTGAACTTCTTCGGAAAGCTAAACGCTCAGAAATAGTACTCATAGGGGGTGACTTTAATGCCCAGATGGGTAGTTTAAACCAAACAGAAAGGCATTTGGGTGGGTATTTTAGTATTCCGGCACAACAAACAGATAATGGTGATCGTCTGCTGCAACTGTGCTCAGACAATCGTTTGTTTTTAGCAAACATAAATTTTAAGCATAAGGAGAGACATCGTCTAACATGGCGACCCCCTACACCAAACCAATGATGGACTCAAATAGACCATATTGCCATCAGTCATTGTTGGAAAGGGTCGGTAGAAGATTGTCTCTCATTCTGGAGTACCTGCTTGGACTCCGACCACGCCCTAATACGGGCACGCATCTGCTTGCGCCTCACTGGACGCAAGAAAGCCACATTAAAAAGACCCACTAGAACTGAGTTGAGGAACGAGAAAACCATAAGTAGGTTCCAAGAACAACTGAGTTCACACTTAGGTAGTTCTGAAAACGAGGCTGAGCCAGATGTTGCTTGGAAAGACATACAAGCAGCTGTGGAAACGGCAGTGACATCTATTAGTGACTTAAACTACAGAGTTACGGAGAACCAGTGGATTTCTTCAAGGTCTATCACACTGATAGATTCTCGCAAACTCGTCCCATCAGGTTCCGAACATGATGAAGAGCGACAACAAATCAGATCTAGGTTAAGAAAAAGTCTAAGAAACGACCGTGAGACTAATAAAAGAAACTGGAATTAATAAGTCAAGTGTAAGTCAGACTATTTCGGAAAAAGACGATACTCTCATCTGCTCCCAGTCCAGACGTTTAGAACGACGGGCGGAACATTTCAGAGAACAGTTCAGCTGGCCTTCAGCTACTCTACAACTACCCTCCATTACCAGACAGTGTGAATGGAACATTGAAGTAGGTCCCCCAACTCTAGCAGAAGTTCAAAAGGCTATAGTTAATCTGAAACGAGGAAGGGCAGCTGGTCCAGATGGATTGGCTCCAGAGGTCTTTAAGGATGGTGGTCCAATTTTAGCTAAGATCTGGGAGTTAGACGTTACTCCATCTAACTGGTCACAATCACTTATCGTCCCAATATATAAGAGAGGGTTAAAATCATCCTTTGACAACCATCGAGGGATTAGTTTAATTAATATAGTATCTAAAGTACTAGCCTCGATAATTATCGGACGCCTAACTAAGACTCGTGAACTACAAACACGAGAGAACCAAGCTGGCTTCAGACCTGGTTGTGGCTGCATCGACCACATATTCACCACTCGTCAGGTTCTAGAACACAGGCATACTTATCGGCGACCGACAATGGTGATCTTTCTTGACTTAAAGGCAGCATTTGACTCGGTAGACCGCGAGATTCTGTGGCAGTGTCTATCATTGAAAGGCGTACCTCAGAAGTACATAAACCTTGTGAAGGCTCTTTACTCGAACACTACCAGTCGAGTCAGAGCTTATGACGAACTGTCATCTGCTTTTGCAACCTCAAGTGGTGTCCGTCAAGGCTGTCCACTTTCTCCATTTTTGTTTAACTTCATCATAGACTTATTGATGGAAATAACATTCTCGTCTACTGAATTTTCGGGTATTGATCTCCTTCCAGGAGGTCCACTTATCGACTTAGAATACGCAGATGACATAGTCCTGTTTGGTGAAGACGCCGATAAAATGCAGAGTCTTTTGGTAGCACTAAGCAACAATGCGAGAATGTTTGGAATGCTCTTCTCTCCCTCTAAATGCAAGTTGTTGCTTCAGGACTGGTCTGCGTCAACACCTGAACTAAGGATAGGGAGTGAAGTAGTCGAACGCGTTGACAACTTAACTTATCTTGGAAGTCTGATCAGCCCTAATAGGTTGGTGTCTGACAAAATCTCAGCACGGATTCGAAAAGCTCGCTTGGCTTTTGCCAACTTACGTCACCTGTGGCGTCTATCAATAAAAGGACGAGTATACTGCGCGGCAGTCCGTTCTGTTCTACATTACAGCTGCGAAACATGGCAATTAAGAGTAGAAGATACTCGTAAGCTACTAGTATTTGACCACAGATGCCTTAGAAATATTGCTGGCGTCTGCTGGGATCACCGGGTAGGTTATAGTGAGGTTACACGCACGGCATTATGGAATGATGGTAAATCAGTTGATGAGCTTGTGAATCTTCATCGAATGAGATGTTTGGGCCACGTGTTACGTATGCCTGAACACCGATTACCTGGATGTACAATGCTGACGAGTGTTGGAGATGGTTGGAAGAGAATTAGGGGCGTCCAAACCAAAACGTGGCATCAGTGCTTGAAGTCACTAACTTCTAGTCTGAGCCATGTTGGTAGATGCAGACTACTTGGTTGGGGTCCGCGTGACTATCGTAACCGATGGTTGGAGACTCTTGGTGACATGGCTCAGAATCGATCACAATGGCGTAAGTGTATATACTCCCTGTCTTCCCTTAAACTAT